TCACTTAGAGACTATAATTTGGGCACAAGAGATTTTGGTTTTTTAAAACATTGAATGCCTCTAACTAGATCCTGTTTAGACATGTCACAACAAGTTCAAATGACGTCATGAGTTCAAATGATGTTAACCAAAGGTGGCAATAGAAAAAGAATAAGTAAGTTGTATCGGTATGACCACGGATGGAATGTGAAGGCATTTCAGAAGGTGCTTGGGGAAAATGACCAGTCCGAAATATATAGCACATATATTAATATAGTACTAGATGTTCCTTCAAAGCATTTTAAAATTTACATATGGTTTTTTGCTCATGTATTCTGACACATTTTGGTCTTGAAAAATTACAGGTGGAATGTCACCCTTACCTCAACCAGAGCAAACTCCTGGAGTTCTGCAAGTCCAAGGACATTGTTCTAGTTGCCTATAGTGCCCTGGCATCTCACAGAGACCCAAACTGGTAATAAGAGTATCAAAGAGTTCATCAAAGAGTTCATCAAAGAGTATCAAATACCAGCTTCTCTATTGATTAAGAAACTTTTAGCATTTTATTATAGATAAAGTCAAACACTGAACAGCGAACACAATGGTGTAGTGAATTCCCAAGTAACACCACTGAGCTTCAGTGTCACCAATATTCCTTCCCTCCAATATTCCTTCATTTGCATATCTATCTTCTCCCAACCCCACTGCAAATACAATTTCAAAGTGATTTTAAGGTGAAATTTACATAGACTATAATACATATATGTTAGCTGTATAATTTTGATAAATGAATGTACTTTGTAATCCACATTATTGTCATGAAATAGAAACTTTCTCCCAAAAACGTTAATTTGTGTTCCTTCTGAGACAAGTCCTCTCCACCTCTAGGCAACTATGTTCCTAATGTTTTGGTCTTAGATTAGTTTTATCTGCTGCAGTACTTCATATGAAGAAGTCATATAAATTCTTTTGTGTAGCTTCTTTTGCTCAACCTGTCTGTGAGATTCATTCCTGTAGTTGCAAGTGTCTGCTCTTTCCATTTTACTGCTGGAAACTATTCCATTGTATGGACATGTACACCACAAGCTGTTTATCCATTCACCTGCTGACTGGCAGTTTAGTTGTTTCCAGTTTGCCTCAATTGCCAATAAATCTCTCTGAATGTTTATGAGACACTTTGAAACATACTATATTGTATCTTCTGCTCTCATTGTCTGGGGCTTTGGGAAAAAGGGGTAGCACACTCTGGATTTTTCATCTACATCCTTCATATCTGTTGTTTTTCTCCAGGATTGACCCAGATAGCCCGTATCTCTTGGAGGAGCCAATCTTGAAATCCATTGCCAAGAAACACAGTAGAAGCCCAGGCCAGGTTGCCTTGCGCTACCAGCTGCAGCGGGGGGTGGTGGTCCTGGCCAAGAGCTTCTCTGAGAAGAGAATCAAAGAGAACTTCCAGGTACAGGTCAAGGGGTATTGCTCCAAAGCGAGGTGTGGGTGTTGGTCTGGGTGATCTCTCTTCCACGGGAGAATGTTCCACGTGCCATTCATTCCCATGCTTCTCTCCTCTGTGCTAAGGGGGAGGGCAGCATAGAATGATGGGAAGAGAGATCACTGGACTCAGAGTCCTAAAGTTTATCACCTTTAGGGCTGGCTTTCCTACTCACTCATTGTGTGACACTAAGCAAATTTCAACTCCATCGTTTTCATGAGTTTCAGGAGTTCTACATGGTAAAGAACTTTAAAGACCCTCATTTCTCTCCTTCACCATCTCTATCTGACAACTGTATCTGACAAACCTCAATTTGTATTTTATGATCAAACTGAAATAGGATTACCTGCTTTGCTACATATCATACATACATAACCCCCAGCATATCTGTCACCACAATAGTGCTTGGCATGGTTCTGTTAGTGAGTCTTTTTCCCTTTTAACTTAACATTTTTTGCTAAGATATCAGTGTGCTCTCTGGACTGTGAGACTCTAAATGCAGTGACTCCTTCTGGGTCATCTCTTATCACCCTTCCTCTGGCAGTGCCCTGGGCAGGTAGGAAGCTAAGAATAATTTCACAGACTGACCAAATTATTAATAGTAAATAAATGAGTAAAGATTTTGCCTGAGTCTTCCACATATACACTCCAATCCATTAGATCAATCAGTGGCCTTTAATTTACTTTGTTTTGAAATCTAAAAGAATTTTGAAAGACTGTGTAAGCTGTTTTCCATTTAAAGATGGCAGCAGAAAAGTCAACACGAGTTTAGTTTTTACAAAGGATGATATTTGAAGCATACTTTCTAATGTATTTGTTTCACAACTGTATAGCTCTAGATTAAATTTTTAAGGTTATACTAAAATCAAATAGGCAATTCTAAATCTTGTTACCATACAGAAAAAAATCTTATTTTATTTTTTAATTTAACTTAACATGTTACGACATATCCCTGTGACAACCACATCACTTCTGGAGTATATATTTTAAGATGACTCACTGATGGATAGATGTATGGGTGGATAGGTGGATAATGGACAGATATAGGCAGAGAGAGAGAGAGAAAAAGAGATATATATATTAGATAGATATGTAGATCATAAATAGATAAATAGGCCATGAGTTTTCCATGAAATTGTCTTCTGTATGAAATATGTTTTTTAAACTAAATATCTCTTTCCTTTGTTATTAAGGGATTTTTCATCAGGGGTTATGTGTCTATGTGTTTTCAAATAAAAACAACTCTTGGCTTAAATAAGATAAATATATTTAAAAAGCAGAACTCTTTGAACATGAGACCTATATGTCTCAAATATCAACCAAAAAAACGTTTGTTTTGTTTTGTTTTGTTTTGTTTTGAGACAGAGTCTCACTCTGTCACCAGGCGCCAGGCTGGAGTACAGTGACGTGACCTCGGCTCACTGCAACCTCCATCTCCCGGGTTCAAGCAATTCTCCTGCCTCAGCCTCCCGAGTAGCTGGGACTACAGGCATGCGCCACACCCAGCTAATTTTTTTGTATTTTTAGTAGAGACAGTGTTTCATCATGTTGGCCAGGATGGTCTCGATCTCTTGACCTCGTGATCCACCTGCCTCGGCCTCCCAAAGTGCTGGGATTACAGGCGTGAGCCACTGAGCCCAGTCCCAAAAAAAGGTTTTATTTTTCTTTCTTTCTTTTTTTTTTTTTTTTGTAAGGAAGTAGTATTTGGTACTACTTAGCAGTAGCTGGAAATAATATTTTGGGGGCCTGCAATGAGCAAGTGGTATAGTAAAACAATTGATCAGGAAAGGCTTTTCTAAGCCAACAGATTCTTGCAGCAAGGTTGTCTTGTGTTCCCAGACTTGCTCAGTCAAAGATTGGGTCAAGTTCCAGGGGAAGTGAGGAAGGAAAATCCTGACCAAGTGTGGTCAAGTCAAGGAAGCAGGTATTTTGTCCAGATTTGCCTTTGTTTAGGATAAAGAATTTCTTCTTTCTGTCTCAAGCAATTCTCTAGAAATGTCTTAGATTGATGCGTTGTCTTTCTTTGCAGAAGTGGAGCAGAGCATGAGGGAGGTGGGATGGAGAACTAGCAGATCTCAGGGGAAAGAGATCTCATCTAGCAGCCAAGGACAGTAATGCTTCCCATATTGCCATCCTTGCCTCTGCCCCTGGAAAGTCCTTGTACTCCCAGGAAGAAGCTGCTATCCTGGGGAAAGGTTAATGTGAGTGTTTTCTTCCTTTCAGGTTTTTGACTTTGAGTTGACTCCAGAGGACATGAAAGCCATTGATGGCCTCAACAGAAATTTCCGATATGCTAAGTTACAGTTGTAAGTGGTGCTTGCATGTTCTTTCACAGGCTGTTTTCTGTAACATGCAGGCATACAGTGGAACACCTCTTCCCCAGATCAGGAAGGCAGCCCAGATTTCAGGAATAGGTATGAAACAGGAGCTTCCCTAGAGTCCTCAGACTATAGTTTTTCTCCAAGGCTCAATCTCTGACCCAACAGGAATGTGAGTCTGTAAGTGAAGCTGCCGATGTCGGCACCATTGTGAATCCACCTCTTTAATGCCCTTACTTCCTGTGCCTGGCCCTGCACTTGGCCCAACTGCCTATTAGACTAGAAGGCACGGTGTCTATGACCCATAACAGGGGTCCATGGTAATGTTCTAGCTTTAATTTATTTTAAAGTCAGAAGAAAAAAAACAATACAACAATGATGAATATATAATAATGAATCCAGCCGGGTCCATCTTCATGTCAACACCAAGGCAATGTAAAACTTAATTTTAATATTTATATAGAGCATTAGTCCATGAAATCAAATGTGCATACATGACAGGGAAGTCCATGGCCCCCCCAAGTGTCCCGTGACATTTCTCTTTACTGTGGCATTCCTTTTCCAAGACACCAACTATTTCTTCCAAATTTTTGTCTTCTTTGGCTTTCTTTACCTTCACAACTCCCATTTCCTCAGCTACATAATCTCACCAAGCTGAACAATAAATGAAGTCAATAGGCCCTCAGTGCTAGTGACTGAGGTATCCCCAGTGGCCTCCGCCAAGGTAAGCTCCTCTGGGATTTCTCTGTATCTTCAAGGCAAGACTCTTACGCCAATGTCATCTTTGTCCATCTGAAGTCCACCTCTGGGGAATGCAACATCCCTTGACTTTAGTTTATTCACAAACATAACGTTCCATAGGATCAACTTCAGGATCTTGGGTTGACGAGAAAGAAGAGGAATCAAACAGAGAGACGTCTGGAGGGGAGTTTAGAAATAGGGAGAAATATCATTTTAGTTAGGAAAATAAAGACTCAGTCTCCAAAGCAGATTCCAAAGGTCCCTCTTCTTTTCGTAAAACCATACCAGGTTTCCAAGAAAAGACATTTTCAATGAGGAAAACGTGGAACGCCACCTTTCTATACTCACAGGCTTTAAGTGTAATCTGTGATCTGCCTCATGAGACTGTGAATGTCTCATCTTACTCATCTCTGAGGCCCTATGTTAATATTGCTTCTGTCACGTTTAACTGCTTAGAGATACTCTTTAATGACACTTAATAAAAAAGAACATGGAAAAAGGGAAAACGAACAGTAATATAATTACTGAATCATAAGTAATCCTATGAATTATAACTAAGGAAACAGCAAACACATTTTGCTGGTCTGGTTATTAGAGACACATCTTATCTCCTTCATAGATTAGAAGTTTCTCATTGCAAGGACCCTGTATTGTTGAGGATGCTTTGTGGGATGAATGAGTGGAAAATAGCAATGCAATCCTCACTGACACTGTCCTCATGCTCCAAGGACAAAGGCCACCCGAGTTGGAATGGACCCAAGACCTTCATCCGCAGTTCTTACCCTCTCTTAGACTTTGTAATCTAAATCCAATTGCTTGTCACGTTGGCACTCATGTGCATGTGAGTGCGGAAATTGGGAATGCATGTGCCATCTGCACATGAACAGGGAACATATCTGTATGTGTTCCCGGTACAAGTAGGGACGTGGTTGTAAATTCAGAGATTTTAGCCCATGCTATCTGCGTCTTCAGAGAAACACTCTCTCCATGACAGCATGGGTAAAGAGTTAATCAATTAATATCCCTTTTTGTCTTTCAGTGCTGTTGACCACCCTTATTATCCATTTTCTGAGGAATATTAACCCTGAGCTGTTGAGTGTTGCTCCAGAGTTTTCTCCTTTTAGGCAACCTGAGAGGATTTCTGTATTTGGTGGAGAAGATTAGGAAGCAGTGTGTGTAGTTTCAGTTGCTTGCTTTTCATTTCCTTCATGTTATAAAATAAAAGACTACAAAATAATGATGTTCACTTTCCTGATTATTAAAATTACACGGACATTACAGAAAATTTAGAAAATAAAAGGTAAAAGAGAACAAAAAAAACCTCCTGTAATTCTTCCATTCAAAAATACTTAATATTTGGGGCATCTTCCTTCATGATTTTTCTTTACAAATGTATATTTTTTAATATACATAATTAATGCATATATAAATGCATGTTTATTTACAAACTTTAAAGCATCTTCAACATTCAGATTGTATCCTTTTTTAAACTTAACATACATGTTTTTAAGGTATCAAATATTATTCAAAACATCCAGATTTATATTTTACTTGCTGTAAAGCAGTAAGTCTTATTAATTTATTCATTTTTTACTCATCTACCCACGTTTTGGCATTTGTATTAATTCTTGCATATTGTGCCATTTATTCGTTTATTCATACAGGAAAACTTTATTGAATATCCATTGTGCACCAGATATTGTTTTATCAATAAATAAGATAGACAAAAGTGAAATGAAATTGATATAAAAAAGTCTTGGGTTTATAGGTTAGTGAAGTACACCATGAATGAAATAAACCTGGTAGGAAACGTGTAGTTTGAAATTGGTAAGTTCTTTTAGAGAGTTGATTCTGCATGGTGTCTCACAGTTCTGCACATTTGATAAGCAGGGACGCTGACTGCCCTTCATTCCACCCTGTTTTTTCGAGAAATTTGTATAGTGAACAGTGTTGGCCTGTAAAGATAGTAATTCCCTCCAAGAAATGGAAGGCATATTCACTGCTCCGTAATAGCACATACCCTTCTCTAATCAAATGGCATCCGTTCTTCCTGCCTTTTCAACTCCAGGTTTTTCTCCTGCCTCTCAACCCGCTGTGTATGCAAGGACAGCTGGGTCCTTTACTTCATTTTCTGGGACTTGAACTCAATAACCCAACCTAAAACCATCTTACAAGCCCAGCGTGGTGGTGTATGCCTGAAATCCCAGTTACTTGGGAGGCTGAGACAAGAGGATTTCTTCAGCCCATGAGTCTCAGTTGGCAGTGTGCTATGATCATAACTGTGAGTAGCTTCTGTACTCTATCCTGGGTAACGAAGCTAGACTTTGTCTCTAAAATAATAATTAAAAAAATTCTGATACTTTGATTAGAGATATTGTCATGAGCAGTACACTATCCTTCTCTGATCCAGAAGTTTCATGACTTCTATCGGCTTCCATGACGCCTGGCAAGCCGATTTATTAGCTTGCAACTCAGCTTAAGATCCTAGATCTTTTTAAATTCTTGACAACAACTTGGAGAACAATCAAGTAGAGAGGAAGAACAGGTAGTGAGAACTGGGAGTGTAATGTGTTATTTTAAATAGGATGTCCAGAAAAGATTTCACTGAGAAAGTGACTTTCATGCAGAAGTTTGAGTGAGCTATGCAGATACGAGGTTGGGGGAAAGAATTCCTACACATGAAACAGGAAATGCTATGGCTGTGAAGAAAGAGAGTTCCTGCAACATTAATAGGACAGGAAATAGCTAATGTGGTACAAATTTGTGAGTGAGGGAGAGAGTCCAGAAGATAAGGTTCAGAGCAGCCAAGGCGGTTCTATTCTACAGGCTTTTGAAAGAACTTTCTTGTTTATTCTGAGAACAATGAAGAATGATTGAGGTCCAGCATGGTGGCTAATGCCTGGCCAAGAGGCTGATCTTGAACTCCTGGCCTCAAGTGATCCATCTTCACTAAAAATACAAAAATTAGCTAAGCATGGTGGCGTGAACCTGTAATCATAGCCACTTGGGTGACTGAGGCAGGAGAAACACTTGAACCTGGGAGGCGGAGTTGCAGTGAGCCAAGATCACACCACTGCACTCCAGCCTGGGCAGCAGAGTGAGAACCTGTCTCAAAAATAAATAAATAAATAAAAATAAAAAGAATGATTGCAAGTTCTGAGCAGAGGAGCTACAGAAGATGACATGTTTTAAAAGGCTAACTAGACGCTACAGTGGGAAGACACTACTGAAAAATAAAGTGTAGGTATTTCCTTTCACGGCTCTATACAAAAATTCAGTTGAGAAATGACGCAAGCTTGGAACACATTACCAGCAGTAAAGATGGTGAACATTTGTGGGAATAGGGTCACATTTTTAGGGTAGGGTCAACAAGGCTTCCTAGTGTATTAACTAGTGAGGAGTTAGAGGGAAAAAGTTGACTCTAGAAATTTTGGGTTAAGCAACTGGATGGAAGGAGTGACCCTTGCTGAGATGAAGAGGATGTGGGAGGAGCACAAAGAGGACCTTATTTGTGGCAAGGTCATGAGTGCGACCTTAGACATGTTAAGTCTGAGAAGCGGTTAAGATGGTTGCCTTTCTAACGTCAGTTTTACTTTAAATAATTTGTTTAGGTCAGTCATGCTGTTTTCATTATGTGTCCAAGTAAAGATGCCTTGTAGACATTGGGCATATAATTCTGGGGTTACAGAGAGGGCGTTGGCCAAAGAAAACTATTTGAGATTTGTCAGAAAATAGTTGCCACTTGAAGCCCTAAAATTATATAATCCTAGATAAGATTTGATGAATGAGCGTGGACAAACGAAACAGAATGAGGCATTCTATTCTCAAGAGGCTGGGGCAGGAGGAGAGGGACCAGGTAAGAATGTTGAGGAGTGGCTAGGATGGCATGTGGCAAAGGGAGCGATTGTTCTGTCCTGGAAGACAGACGAAGAGCTTGTTTTAAGGAGAAAAGAGTCAAATGCTACTAAAAGGACAAGTAAGATGGGAACTCAACGTTGACCACTGGGATTGGCATTTGACAGTAACAAAGTCAAGACTAGCTTTGAAGGCCTGGTGGAGGCACGAGCCTGAATAGAGTGCATGCAAAAAAGCATAGGAAGAGCAGAGTTAGTTACAGAAGTGTAGAAAACCTTCAAAGAATTGGCTGTAAACAGTACCAGATATTTGAGCAGTCACTTGAAAAGAAAGTGAATTTGAATGGGAATTTTCTTTGAGATGGCAGAAATAACAGCACATCGGTGTGCCCTAGGAACAATCTAACAGAAACAGGGTGAAAACTGCAGGAGAGAGAAGATGAGAATTACAGAAATCATGTCTCAATTCGTTTTCTGATCCTGCTATAACAAAATACTGCAAATGTTGTGGCTTGAAGCAACACAAACTTATTTTCTTACAGTTCTAGAGATCAGAATTTCAAAATCAGGCTCAATGGACTGAGGTCAAGGTGTCATCAGGCCTGCATTTTTTTTGAGGGTTTAGAGGAAAGTCCATTTTCTCCCTATTGCTAGCTTCTAGCATTTCTTGGCTCATAGCCTCCTCCTCCATCCTCAAAGCCAGCTGTGTAGCCTCTTCCAGCCTTTGATCTATGACTCTTATTCTCACACCTCCTTGACTATGACCTGCACGTTTCCCACTGATAAAGACTTTGTGATTACATTGGTCTACCCAGACAATCCAGAAAAATCTTTCCATCTCATGATCCATACTTAATCATATACGCAAAGCCCTTTTTGCCATTAGGTAACATATTTTCAGGTTCCAGAGATAAGGACATGTGTATCTTTGGGGGGCATTGTAGAGCCTACTACACTAGGCTTGTAGTAAATTTGGAGCCGCTAAACTTTAGTTTTCTAATCTTTGTAATAGAAAGATTTCATTGTCCAGCCACTGGATCCTGAAACTCTAGACATTCATCTCAGATTTCAAGTGGGAAACCACATGAATAAATACCTGTTTCTTTAAAGCCGATGTAATCTGGACCCTATTATAGTTCCTCCTTCTGGATACATACCCTTCGTTATTTTATTCTAAAATGTGTTCTCAGAATCTGTTGATATTATCTTTCAATGTTCACACGGAAAACGAGCTTTTCAGTTTGCTGACATTCTCAAGTCTTCAGAATTTCTACTCACGTCTAGATTATATTTCAGGCAATGGATCCCATGTTAACTACTTAAACCTGCTTCATCTATGACTTGGACACATTTCATATTCATCAAGTCTCTTAACTCTGTGGTTTCTACTACACCTTGATTTACCAAGTTCTTGATTCATCAAGAGTTCTAGTTATTAGGTCTCTCTTCTTTCCTTTTTGCATTCTTTCAATAGCCATACAAGTTTACATATGCAAATTAGGATAAATAATAGATTAAATTGAAATTGATCAGACTCCACTTGTTCTACATATGTAAGTCTGGAAACATCTAATTTAAAGAAAACCATCACTTTCTCACTATGGTTTCGGCAGTGAAGATGATTGCCTTTCGAACATCAGTTTTACTTTACATAATTTGTTTAGGTCAGTCATAGTCATGTTAATTTCATTGTGGTTGGCATAGGAGTCACTGGATAAAGAGTTGTGACCCAGCCCCAGCCAATGCCACTTAGGAAGGAAGCACTTTGCTGGGGACTTCTGGGAGACTTTCCCTCACTTCTAAGGAGCCTTTGAAGAGAGCTGGCTTCTCTTATTCAAGGGGATACTGTCCTGTTGCGCAGTGAGGTGTGAAATTGCTGTGGAATCTCCACCAGCCTGAGGATGACATCAGTACACAATAGTGGAAAAAGGAGATGAGAGAAGTTTTGCATGCTCACGGACGACACCTAGAGTTTACCCTTCCTCTGGACTTCTTGTTATGGGGCTAACACATTTTTGTGAATTTTAAACCAGGTTGAGGTAGTTTTTTGGACCTGCCTGTACTGTAATCCAAACAACTATACAAGTTAATGATTTTCTTTTACAACGTGCCTTGGCTTTTGTACCTAGCCAAGAGTGGGCAGAACGTGTGAAAACTGCTGAATCATCTTGACGGTGTGACTTCAG